TCTGCGGGGAGAAGGGTGCAACAATGAATGAATGGAATCCCAAAATCTCTGTAGATGTTCATTGAAATGAAAAATAAACAACCTAAATTAAAAAAAAAGTCCAATGATTTACATAATCAGGGTAGAAATCAAAACGTAAAATCAAGTTCAAGAAATGTTTCATTGAGAATTCAAAGAAGAAATGCTATAATTGTTCCTCATTGAAGTCAAGGAAACAATTACATGACTATAATTTTCCATTCTTTTAATTGACTTTAAAGCTTTGTGGTTTTTTCCCCCTTGGTAATTGTGTAGCTTTTATAATGTCTGAAGTATATTGTGGAGCCAATATACCAATTCCCATTGAATTATTTTGATACATAGCAATCATATAAAATAACATTAAGCTGTTCCATTGGATTTTCAAAGCTTTATTATTGAAGAAGATTGTTGATTTGTTTGTTTTTGTTTTGGTTTTTGTTTGTTCATTTTTTAGTGACTGATGGGTTCAAACTATTGATCTTTTATTTATCTGCATACCTCTAACTACTGTACCATCAGGGATTCAGAGGATATTAAATTACATGAAATGTTTGTATTCAACTGCTAATCTAAAATTTGGGTTCAAACTTACCCTGTATGGAAGAAAGAGCTAGTAATATATTTTTTTTTCTCATTACAAATACAGCCTAGAAAATGAATGAGAATTAATTAAACAGTAATTAATAACAAAATGACATTATTAAAATTATCCACTTATTAACTAAGCTAAAGGGAAAAATTTTCTATCTGTTTGCAGTTAAGGTGCTGATTATAAAATATGGTAAGTGAAATATCTCAGACACAACAGGACAAATACTGCATAATGCCACTGTTTTAAAATAGGACTGACATTGGGGTTGGGGGAGACTGAGAAAGATGCAATAAATTATGAATACTGCATTGAAACAGATAATGGAGAGCACTGTTTTAAGGGGATATATGATTAGATATTACTGTCATAACAGGAATCCAGAACAAAGGTGGCATAGTGGAGTGGACTTGGGGAAGGGATTGTATAATGAAACAATTTTTATTTTATTTTTTCAAAGAGAAGAGTGAACTGGGGGAGCAGGGAGAAAAGTGAAACAATGAATGAATGGAAACCATAAATATCTGTAAACTTTCATTAAAATTAATAATATTAAGAAAAACATACGTAGATTATATCCATGATATTTGTCCCTTAAGATACTGTTGATTTGAAATTAACTTTATGTAATGATCTGTGAGGTAAGTTTTCTGTGCAAATTCTTACCTTCTTTATGTACAATTCTACAATGAAGTGAGATTTTTTTAATACCCAGTTTTTTCTTGAAAAGTAAGTAAGTCTGAAAAGTGAACAACATGACTTCTGTGACTGTATCTTCTACATTAGAAATTAGAGAAGTTTAGTTTATGTAATTAGTTGACTCAGTATGATGCACATGAACCCCAGGTTAAACTCAAATTAGGCTAATATGCCTGTCTTTGTATCTAAGCAGAAGTTTTGGAAATACAGTCACCGATATTATTGGATTGAGTTCTCTCCTGGTTTGTTGAAGATCTGTAAGTTTCTGGCATATAGTTACTTTTCCTGTTCTTTGTTAATTTATACTTAGATCTCAACAGTGTATATACCATCCAAGGACATTACAATTAACATAAAGTGTCTAGAATATGATACCACAGAAAAGAGAATGGTACAGGGAAATAAAACTTTTGCTCATCCAGACAATTCATGCTTATGTGACATAGAAATTAACGGACAGTGTCAATGGAAAAATTCAATACATGCTTGGCTTGTTTGGTTGTTTGTGGTATAAACTCATAGATAAGTGAGTATGTGCAAACACACAAGCACGTGTGCATGGAAGAAGGGCAGGGAAATACTATTTATCCTGAGTCCAATATTCTCAGTATCCCTGCTGTGTTCAACATGCTATTATTATGTTATATATCCATGTATTTTTGATTTATCAGTTAAATAGATAAAAATGAGATAAACAGCATCATGAATTAAAAATTGCATATTTTATTATCCTAGACTGTCATTGTTGTTAGGAACAGTTGTCTCAATTTCAGCTCTAATAACCTTCCCTTATCTTACATCATCCTCACAATATTCACTTCAGTCAACTTCATTGTTCCAGTCAATGTCAATCCATCTCATTAAGGATCTTCCTTTTTTTGTGCTGACAAGTTACGTTTCCTAGATTTCAATATGATTACATCTCAACCTCGAGGGGAAAAAAAATCACCACTGAACCAATAAGCATCATCATAATAGACAGAAGAAAGATTTAAGTTTTTGGCAATTTCATTTTACCTGGATCCACAATTGACACCCATGGTAATAGTAATCAAGAAAATAAAGGCTTGTAGTTGGGAACTTTGCAAAATGTTAAAGAACAAAGATTTCAGTTTAAACACTAAGATGCACCTGATCCAACTCATAGTGTTAACGATTTCTTTATATACACTTGACAGTTGGACAATGAAAAAGAATGACAAAAAGAGAATTGATGATTTTTAATTGTGCTATTGTATTGAGAGTACTGAAGAAAAATCTCATAAACTTTATGTCAAAATACAAGTAAGGCTGTCTTAGAGGAAGTGCAACCAATGTGCTCCTTAGAGGCAAAAAAAAGGTGAAACTTTGTCTTACATAGTTTGGATACATTGTCAGAAGGGACTAGTCCTTGGAAAAATACACCATGATGAGCAAGGTGAAGGGTCAGAAAAGACGAAGAACCTCCACAAGAGTCATTGGCATACTGACAATAACGACGGGTGGGGACATGTCTGAGATCATGAAGATAGGACAAAATAGAGCCAAATTCACAACTGTTGTTTATAGTTGACTCCAGGGCACATAAAAAAAGCAAAGCAAAGATCTTTTTCTATTCAGTAGTGCTTCCTAACAACATGCCTAAAGGCTGTGAAATGAAGTTTCCAATCCTTTCCACCAAAGAGCACCCTGGTTGCGCTTCTTCTAGGACAAATTTGTTTGTACTTTTGGCATTTCATGAGATATTCAATACCATTCACTAATATCACAATTCAAAGCCATATATTTTTTATTTTATTTAGTCTGTCTTTAGTTTTTTAGTTTTTTGACTAACTTTCACATGCACATGGAACAACTGAAAACACCACGGCTTGGCCTAGGTACAACTTTATCTTTAAAATGACATCCTTGCTCTTTAAAAAAAGTCTTTGACCATATATTTTCGCAATTTCTTTACTACTGCTATTATGGGTTTTGATTGTGGATACGAGCAAAATTAAATTCTTTGGCCAGCTTTAATATTTTCTCCACCTATTGTGATGTTGTCTATTGGTCCAATTGTGAAGATTTTTGTCACCTTGTGGCAAGATAAAACGCATCTTGAAATTTGTAGCCTTTGATCTTTTTCAGTAAGTGCTGAAAACTATATGCCACTGGCATTATCAGTAGGATCACCAATGATGTACAGATTTCAGGGATCGTCCAGACAAAGGCAAAAAAATAGTAATGATCATTCACTTCTGAAATAATTGGTCCTTTAAAACACTATGAAAATATCCTAGACTTGGTTATTCAGTATATACTTAGGCAAAACAGAATGTATCTTGTATCAAAACTGTTGAAACAACAGAAAATATTAAGCAAAAACCCTAAATCTTGAGAATAATTTCTAGCTTCAATGCTATAGATTATTGAGAAAATAGCTGTTTTATACCATTTTACTGATATTATAAAAATTGTAGCTATTAGAGGAAATAATAAATGATGTAATTATATATTAATATCTTACTCAAATACTTTAAAATACCCCATTATACAATTAAAAATAATGATTCTGAAATATTATTTTTTCCTTTTCTTACCTCTTAATATTTTCTTTTTAATTACAGAGCTTCATCTCATCAAACTTTAGAACCAAAGAAATGCATGGCGTATAGTCCTAACAAAAACACTTTGGAAGAACATTGTGAAACTAAAAATCCTTATGTTTGTAAGCAACAGCTTGTTTAAGTTTTTGTTTTGTTTTGTTTACATTAAAGGAGGGAAATGTAGTTTTATGATTACAAAGAATAGTCATTTTAATCATTCTGTTATTACGAATTACTTATGTCTGTTAATACTAAATTTCTGTGATTTTGTGTATGTATTGTTGCAAATCTCTGCTAACATTGAAATAGATTTGACACAATAGTGATTAATGTACACAAATCTTATTAGTTCTCTATACAGCATGATAAATTGACAGTATGTATGTGTATGTGTGCATGTGTATTTAAATTTAATAATATAATTTAAAATCATTTATCAGTTTCTTCATGTATATCACCAAAAAGGAAACATATTTCCATATAATACATAAGTGGTTACAGAATTTACATGGAATTTCCAGGCTATGTTTCCCATGACTATATGCAGTTCCCCCACCCCCCATAAACTATTATAGACAAAGTGTTGGATTAAATTATGAAAATTATAGACAAGGATTTTGACTAGCAATAGTATATATCTGCCATTTCAGTGTTGACATAAGTAGGCCATGATCTTGATTTTTGTAATTATCCTATGTTTTGTAAAGGGAGTTCTGGTGGGGTAGTTGGTAGGGTGTTGTGATGCTAAACCAAAGACGTCCCTCTCTGGCCATTCAAAGTCCCAGCAGCTCCATGGGAGAGAACGATGGACAAACTGCTTTGTGAATTCACACTTTAGGAAGCTCCCTGAAAGGTCAGCTATGTTGTCAACTCAGAGAGAGAGAGAGAGAGAATTAATGATAATGAGGTGAAATTAGGGCCTGTCCTATAATGGTATACTGAGTCCTCATGATATGATCTGAGATCTGATCAGGTAATCATGTGAAAGGGAATTAAATTGGGATTTGATACCCTTAAACAGCTCGTAGCCCTGATGCGCTGTAAAAAGAATTCCTTTATGATATGAGTTATATAAAGTATTGTCTTACAAGACATGATGGTGAGAAACTAGAAGAAAGTAGAAGGCCTCTGTACTATTAAAAAGAATAATCACAATTAGAGTGTGTCCTTTAAACCAAAGTCTCTCATATATCTAGGAAAAGATTGAAGCCAGGATGCACAGGGACTGCCAAGGAATGCTAGGCTTGCAGATGTTGAAACAAAACAAAACAAACCACTAAAAAACCCATAAAACAAAAAGAACTCAAAAAACCCACAAAAACACCCTCTTTCCCTAAGAATCAATTGCAAGAGAAAACTTTGTCCTTATCTTCTCCCTGAGATTTTTTTTGTTTGGGGTTTTTGTTTTTTTTTTTGTTTTGTCTTGTTGGGGTTTTATGTTTTGTTTTGTTTTGTTTTACTTACCAGTAAATCTATGGTCAGTGATAGCACTTCCTTAATAAGTCAATAACTCAAATAAGTGTGATGTTATATACATAGCTGATCAGTGTAACATCTCATGAAAAGCAAAGGCAATCAAAGATTTTTAGCATTAGATTATGACTTATTACTGGGGAGATGATACACTACTGAGGAAGGATGTTAGAAGTGTATTGCTGATCTTGCCAACTGAAGTTAAACTGCTTCTGATAAGCCTTTGAAATCTGAATCTTTGTAATGAGAAAAAGACACTGGCCAGATCAATACCTTCATATCAAGGACTGAGAGTTGTATTAATTTGTTGAAACACTGAAACTATATTTGAAAGAGAGGCTGCAATTGGAATCATTACATTTTATGTTTAAAATAATAAATTGGCACTCTACACAAACTATCATTTTGTGCCTCAAATACACTTCACTTTCTGCAGAAAATGTTGCATCATTTTAATATTGTAGGTTATTAATTAGTCTCCTGCTCATCCTTATTCTATTCTTCAGAGAGTCCAGCTTCTCAAGTTATTTGCTAGCTATACAAGTTTAAAAAGTATGGTGAGAAGAAAGATACTCAATACATGTTATTGCTAATTGTAAACTATTCAATATTTTTCTGTGCTTTTCAAATGAATTATCATTGGTTTAGTGGTAAGGATTTGTACCACCAACCCGAATGCTTTCAGTTCAAATCCACCAGATGTTCCATGAGAGACAAATGAGGAATTACTTCATGAATGATTTATTGTTCCTGAAAACCCACTGGGAAGTCAGTTAAGAATCAGCTTCAGCTCAATGGTATTTAACTACCCTCCCCCAACACCTATTGGTATATATACAGGCTCTGAATAAGTGCAACAAAGTGTTTTGGTATTTGCATTACTCGAAATGTTGTGCATAATGTGTTATGGCACACACAATCAAATGTATTTTCATAGTTAATTGATTTAGAGTTTAGAGGCAAAATTCTTTCTCTATAGGAACTCTCAATTTTGGCTTTTAAGACATTCAACTGATGGAATAGGGTCCATCACATTGTGGAGTTTATTCTAGTTTTTTATAGAGTTAATGAATCGTAAATTTTAATCTATTGTCAGAATACTTTCATAGCCAAATCTAGACTAGTTGGTCAAATATGAACGTTGAATAATAAATAAAGATGATCAAAGAAGAACCAATACTTTTGCATTGTGCTGTTAGTAAAGAATATTGGGTTTC